GACTAATGGAAGAAAAATATAATGAGAAAAGAGAATGGATTAAGAAAAATGTAAATAAGTTTCTTTCTATTAATCCACCCTGACAATATTGTATGGTTTCTCAAATGAATAAAATAATATTATGAAAAAACCTTCTCATTTAATTTTCTCTTTAACAAAGTTTAATATGTATTAAATTCTTATTTTATTCACTTTTAAACCAACCATTGTTAAACAATTTCACTTTCTAAGAAAAATGGCAAACTCAAACCAATTCGATAAGATGATTCTGGATTAGAGGGGTTTAAATTTAGGATAAAACTATTTGTACAATTCTACCCAAAGGTTTGTACCTCATTTGTACATCGCAGGTGTACACAAACATTTTTTGTTAGTGTAATGCTAATTTTTGTTAGCGCACCAATAATTTGTGTCGGTATAAGTCTTTATTAATGGACCAACACTTTGTGTCAGTGTGAACCATCAAAATGTTAGTGTATACCTTTAGTGTAAGTTTGGAGTACAATTTTTAATGTAAATATAGCCTTGTTCTTAAATTTATTCACTTTATTTTCTTTCCTCACCATATTTCCATGCATACCAAACTAGTGTTAAAGAAGAAGGTTAAAAATCTGGATATAATCTTTTGTAGGACCCCGTGGGGTCATGTTTTTCTTTCTTGAAATCTTTTGGCATGAGACATATTTTGTATGAAAGGGTCTTCAAATTTGTCACATGTCTCCTCTCTTTGCTGCCTAATTAAAAGAAGTTGGCAAATAATCAAATGGTCATATTTTTAAAATGTGATTTGGGATCAAATTCTTAGATGACAATAAATTCTTCACACTAAATCTTTAGTTGGACAATCGTTGAGGATGTTAGTACACAAAAAAATAAAAGGAGATTGACATAACTTATCACTACTTTCGTCTTAAAATTTTCTTCCATGTTACTATTCACATGTTCAGATTTTAATCACTTTTTTTACCTATTTTCATTAGCTATTTGACAAAATAATATAGTCATGTCATCTCTTTTTTGTATAAATTTTGATGTAGTTTTTAAATATAGTCATGTCACCGGTGGGGGTACACGGGTTGGTCCGGTGACGATGGTAACTGCTCCGGTGGGGCAGCGGGCCCGTGGATTGATTCATGAGTCCTAAGTTCGCACAGGTAAGTTGTGTTAGTTGTAAATTGGGATTGATTGATCATGCATGACGGTAATCGGTGGGCTTCTAATCCCTGATAGGCCGCCATTTGATTTGTATGTTGAATAATAATGAAATTGTGACTTGAATAAAAATTAATCTTATTGGTGATGATTGTGAATTATGATAAATATCTGAAATAGGCCACCTAGTTTAATTAGACACACCTGAATTAGATTGACTGATCGGATTGACTGATTGGATCACCAATATGATATGACTAGGGTTTAGGTCATTGCGGGGCGTCTTCGCATTACTCGCATACCCAGTGGTCTTGGGTTAAAAACGTACGTACGGGAGTCCATGAAGAGTCCTGGCATCGCAGGGACAGGGGCTTGAACTCGCCCAGAGTGAATCTCCTTTAAGTTTTCTGAGCTGGTCCTTTTATAGCATCGTTTGGGGTGCCACTACTCATAGAAAGATGATTTGCCTTAGCCTTCATAGGTTAAGAGATGTGATTTGAATAAATGAATATGAATATTCTAAATCGTTTGAAAATTATTATCACTACACTTGTTTACATGATGATGCTGAGGTATATGTTAATGTGGTACTTTTCTATGAGTTAATACTGGCGTTAGGTATATTCTCACTCAGCTTTCCGTTGAGCGTGTAGTTGTTGTTATTTTTTACTGCACGCAGGTTGGAACCCAGGATTGGATGAACAACCCAAAATAATAATAATAATAATAAAAATAATAATAATAATAATAATAATAATAACAACAACAACAACAATAACAACAACAAGAAGAACAACACTAATAATAATTCTTGATTGAATCTGATCTGATCTGGTCTGATCTGATTCGATCTGATCTGATCTAATTAGATCTGATCCGGTCTGATCTGATCTGATTTTTATAAGAATAAGAAAAAAGCAGAAAAAATATGTTGAACGTAACGGGGCCTAAGTTTGAGATTGTGAGAGGCGCTAAGGATCATAACGTATAGTACGGCTAGGATTGTAACACCCTAATCCATCCAGGTCTGCAGCCCCTTTCGAACTAACGTATTAATTTGGAAATCGTAAAAATTTAAAACATTTCAACATTTTTTTGTTCATAATAAATATTATTCAATACATAACTGTAGCGAAATACGGAGTGTTTAATAATAGTGCAGAAGCAATTTAAACCATGTTTAATAACAACACAATTATTCATTTAAAAATCACAAATTCCACCACGACAGTCTCGCCCCTTCTGCTGCCAGGAACATGCCAATCATTCATTCTGCCTACCTGCGTGTAACAAATAAAACATACTACACGCTCAACGATGAATCTGAGTAAGTATGTCTAAAGCATCGAACATCCACATAAATTGAATCTCAATTCACAAACAACCATTTGATATCATGCACACAACACATAATTCATTCATGATATTCTCAATATTTTTATTTCAATATCTCAACATTCAACATTCATATTCAATATTCAATATTCAATAATATCCTTAAACTACGCTTAGTCTATGGCCAATCTTTTTTTATGTTTACCAACTTTTAAACTAATTCTAGTTCAAGGTACTTCTATCCAACTCTTAAACTAGGTCATTAGTTTAAGGTACATATATTCCGATTGATTTACCAACTCTTAAACTAGCCTTCGCTTAAGGTACAAATCCAGAAAACCGAAGAGTATAATACTAACTATCGGGTTGGGTGGTATCCTCAAACGAGTTTCTCTAGTTTGGTTTATGGATCTCGTACGTACATCTTTACCCAAGGCCACCGAATATACGTTTTATACTCGCAAGGCCCATTCTAATCAGAGGTCTATCTTAGAGGTCTTCTAAGTAGCCTTAACAATATGATTCATTAATTCATTATTCTCAACTTAACAATTCATGATCGTCATTCAGAGTATTCAACATCATTAATTTATCATAATCAAAAATCAAACAATCATAAAATCTAATAACAAACAGCGGACTAGTATCGAGTGTTAACACTCGAACTTACCGTCATGCATTACATAATGTTTTTATATGTCAAAACATCATTTTTATTGTACAAAATCATATTTATATTGTCTATAATTAGTTGGTATCAAAAGTAGGATTTTAAAGCATAATTTCAAAAACATTTTTCGAAGCAGTAATTCGAATTGAAGAAAAATCAATTTAATATATAATAATCTATATATATATATATATATATATATATAAATGTGGAAAAATCGATTATTTAATGAATAATAATCGATTAATAATTAAAAATCGATTTATAATTTATAAATAACCGGTTATTTAATTAAAATCGATTTATATTTTATAAATAATCGATTATATAATAAAAATCGATTTATTTTAATAAAATAATCGATTAATACTTTCAAAATTGATTTACACTTTTAAAATAATCGATTAATACTTTTAAAATTGATTTACACTTTTATAATAATCGATTATGTTTTTCTGACTTCGAGCATCTCATCTGAACAAAGTTCTAATCGATTCTTAGGAGTAAATAATCGATTTTTGGCTACTGTTCATCATCTTCTTCTGGTCAGTTTCGAGTATTATCATTTTTAATCACCAAACTTCAATTAAATTATATAGAAATGTTCTCCAAGGTTCATAGATCATTTTAGAATCATTAAAATATATTTTTAACATCAAATTCAAGGTTTATGATTCTTGGTTCTTCAAACATGTCAAACACAAAACTCAACCAAACGACCATTTATGAACGTAAAAACAACCTACATGAACATTCTAGTCTTTAGATATATCTACGGGCTTACCTTGAAGCTTATCGAAGGTTTTGAAAATTTTCCGGCGAACACCATGGCTTGCTCCGACGACCTCGGCGGCAACTAACTAATGCAGAATGCTCTACTCACTCTCATGAACATTATGACACTAATTTTAGAAAGATTGGTGAAGAAATGATAAGGATGGAGTTTCTCTTTTATAATAGTGAAGAGGAAGAGAAGACACAGAATGCTGAGCTGTTGCTGTGTAGGATTTCCAATTGAGTGATCTGCGCTCGGCGATAGTGCGATATTATACGCCGTTCCCTGATTGGGACTAATTTTGGTCCCAATCGGGGTATACTTTTTTGTTCAACTTTATCCAAATCGAATTCTCTTTGCACTGTTGCGATCGGGAAGTTAAACTCTATCCAACGATATAATTTTTACATTTATTTGTAATACTTTTCCCGAGATCATATTTTCGGGTGTTTGACTTTGACAGAGTAAAAATTGGTTTTATTGACCTTTATCACAAAAGGTTCTCAATTTAATTTATTCTCATGGTTTATTTCAAGAATTCATTTCAAAGTTCACTTAATTAACAAATTCTCCATTTATTCTTAATTTGGGTCTGTACTCAGGCTCTCAATTAAGATCATACAATAAGTCAACATATTGGATTTATCTCTATGAGATTTATCCCAAATATATTTATTGGACATCAATACATATTTTATTTCGGCCTAAAGCCCAACAATAATTTATTTTAATCAAAACAAATTTGATTAATTGAATATTTATTCATTAATAATTCTAGGGTATGTTTTGGGCGTTACCAGGATTGTTCTTATTATTTGTATATCGAGTTAAACTTGGGTGGCTCGATAGGTCTTCAATCATTACAGTGATATGATCTCTAATGGGATTAGTCTAACTAATATCACAGCCGTGCGTTGCACGGGTCATATTTACTATACTAAATTAAGATCATTTTTAATTGGTAGAAAATGATTTCTAATAGAATATAAAGATTTTATTACTTTAAGGTACAAAAGTTTTTTCCTTACAAATTTCGAAATACTTCTTTATAAACTACATTATTGGTACAATTTGTTGGAACATTGTCTTCGTTGCATATCAGAATCTTCAAGCCACCATAATTTGTTACTCTTGAAACTGCAAAAACAATTTCTTAATAACTTACCTTTATTATTATTACATTTATTACTATGATTATTATTATTATACGGTACCATATTATTTTTATTCTTTCACATGTTACCTTTCTTTTTATTCACGGTACCAAAATTTATAAAGTATGAAATTACCTTATTAATAATTAATAATTAAGGTTTCACATGTTACCTTTTCTATTACACGGTACTAAAAAATATAAAATTTGAAATTACCTTATTGATAATTAATAATTTATTTTATAATTTATAAATTTGATAAAAAAAAATATAAGGTATGAGAATACATTTTTTAAACAAAGTCAACACTTTCATTTATTTTATACATGGTAATAGCACAAAACTAACTTACCTTTATTATTATTATGATTATTATTAGTATATGGTACCATATTATTTCCATATTATTATTATTATTTTACATGTTACCTTTTTTTATTATACGATACCAAAAATTATAAGGTATGAAATTACCTTATGAATAATTAATAAATAATTCTATAATTTATACTTTTATTAAAAAAATATAACGTATGAGAATACATTCATTACCTTTATTATTATTATTACGTTTATTATTATGATTATTATTGTAGCATAATATTACCATAAAATTATTATTCTTTCACATGTTACCTTTTCTATTTTACACGGTACAAAAATTTATAAGGAATGAAATTACCTTTTAATAATTAAAAAATAATAGTTAATAATTAAAGTTTCACATGTTACCTTTTTTATTACACGATACAAAAATTAATATGGTATGAAATTACCTTAATAATAATTAAAAATTAAAAATTAAAGTTTCACATGTTACGTTTTTTATTATACACGATACCAATAGTAATTATTACGTTTATAATTATTATTACACAGTATCATATTATTACCATATTAATATTAAAGTTTGACATGTAACCTTTTATGTTATTATTAATATTATTATTCTTATTACAATTATTATCATTATTACACGGTAACATAATAATTAATAATAAATATGAAAGAAAAGTGAGAGAGTAAATAATTATGAAATTACCTTATACACGACCCTTACCATTTGAAATTCTAGCACTTACCTTTTGCGACTGAAACGTTTAGGCGGGAAAATGCAATGGAAAATTCCCCTATATATATATATATAGACACATACTCCCTCCGTCCTAAAATGTTCTTCTCATTTACTTTTTACACAGTCAAACTTTAATCACTTTTTTTTACCTATTTTGATTAGGTATTTGATAAAATAATATAGATTTGTCACCACTTGTTTTGTAGAATTTTTTATGTAGTTTTTAAATATCTAAATTTTATTTTTAAATTTTACACCTACAATCAAATAAATTGAACTAAAAATAAAGCCGGTCAAACCCCGTAAACAGAAACGGAAAGAACATTATCGGACGGAGGGTGTATATATATGTGTGTGTGTATATATATCTAGTGATTGTGGATAGTTAGTTTGAATAATGTCTAATGATGGTGGGTATTACTTGAACAACGATCAGTGGACATTAAACAATAATTAATATGGAGTACTATATTAAAAATAAAAATATACTAGTATGTTGGTACTATACATTGGACAACGGTCCATCACTAATCATCAACATTGCACATACGTACACATGCTTCAAAATCTTGCCAATATATTCGAACAAATATTGTTAGTGTACAACTAGATTGTTGGCCAAGTGGTGTGCAAAACGAATTTTAGGATACCATGATGAAGGGATGCATCATGCGAATGGTGACTGGTGTGTGTCATACACATACATACGTACATACATACATACATATATATATATATATATATATATATATATATATATATATATAGGATTGACTCCAGTCAGATGACATTATACGGTCTGATGACGCAAAACTCACCACTGGCCACTGCAATGCTCACCAAGGACTACTACAAAGCTTACTAAACTTTAAGGCAAGGCTCACCATATTTTTTCAACACTTTGAATTTTTTTTGAAAAAAAAATCAAAGGAAGGGGTGTTGACTAGACTTTGACCATTGACCGTTGACCATCACCGGCGACCCCCTGCTGCCACCTGCCGCCGCCGACCTCCGCCGGTCTCTGCCGCGCCGCTGACCGGTCGTTGACCGGTGTTGCTATTTTATTTTTTATTAATTTTTTAATTTTCAAAATTTTAAAAAAAGTGAATTTTGGTGTTCAAAGTGATGAGTTTTGCTTTATTTCCAGGTGAGGTTTACATTGGCCATTGGTGATCTTTGCAATGTAATGTGGTGAGCTTTATGTCATCTCACCGAAGCATGTCATCTCACCGTAAGGTGTTATCTCACTAGAGTCAATCCCTATATATATATATATATATATATATATATATATATATATATATATACACACACACACACACACATACATACATGTGGGGCACACATTAGATGACCATAAGAAACAAATCTTTCTTGTTTGTGATTACACATAATACTCCATGAAACAAAATCATACAAAGGGAATCAAATGAAATTGCCATCTTACAAATTTGCACCATTCCCCACATGCTTTGATCTGCGCATAGGATTGAAAACGCACATGATTTCGCAAATGTTGTAAGTTACTCCCTCAGTCCCGAAAAATTCTTCCCGTGTTGACTTGACACGCTTATTAAGGAATAGTAAAAAAATGTAAAATTTTCAAAAATACACATACTATAAACTTTTAAATATCCTTTTCTTATTAAAAAAGTACTAAAAAAGTAGATTAGTGATAAAATAGAAGAAAAGTAGATTAGTGATAAAATAGAAGAGTATTATTCAAATTTATCTTTAAAAAGTATACTAAAAAACGAAATGGGAAAAATATTTTCGAACGGACCAAAAAGGAAAATGGGAAGAATATTTCCGGACGGAGGGAGTATTACGGAGTATATTATATTCTCTACTATTCTAGAGTACATATACCTCCAACCCTATTTTGATTATAAAATAAGAATTACGAGGTAAGATCTTACGATTTTTGAAATCATTTTGTTTACAAATTGATATATCAATAAAAAATAAAAATGACATATTATAAACCTACGTCCAAAATTCTACAAAACAAGAGGTAACAAAAATATTTTATTTTATCAAGTAATAAAAAAAACACAAATAAACAAAAGTTATCGAAAGAAAAGAGAAAATAAAATTAGGAAAAATTATCCAAAATAATCCCAACTTTACTCGGTCTTTCAAAAATAATCTCATCTTTCACTGTGATGCATAATAATCCTAACTCTACTGAAATTTGGCAGTTTTGGGTCGCCGTTAAGTTTCTAACGGAGGGATAACGAAAATGTTCGTTTTAGGCAACAAAATGAAAGTTGGGATTATTTTGATGAATTTTTGTTTTTTAATTTTTTTTGAAATTTTTATTTAAATTTTTTGAATTACTTTCAACCTCCATTTCTTTTTCTTTTTTAAATATTATTCTTACCTTAGAAAAAAATAGATATAATAAATAATGAAAATGAGAAAAATAACTAAAACCATACAAAATTAATCAAATAAATAATGTAATCAATAGAAATTAAATAGAAACTGTTAAGAAATAAAATAAATATATATGGAGTTGTGGGTTTAACATTTTACACACTATACGGAGTCTTAATGTACTACTTATTTTTTAAAAGAACAAGCCGTCCGGTAATGTTGAAATTATTGTAGATAATTTTTTCTAAAAAATAAGAAGTGATTTGTTAATACTTTGTATAATGCCTAAAATATTAAAACTCACCCGTATATTTTTATTTTACTTTTTCCAATTTCAAGTTAGTTTCCATTGATTACCTTATTTATTTTATTATTTTTGTATCATTTTAGTTACATTTCTCATTTTTATCATTTTTTATATCTATTGTTTTTATTTTTTAAACTAAGACTAATCTTTAAAAAAGGAAAAAGAAATCATGATGGAGGTAGAAAGTAATTTAAAAAATTTAAATGAAAATTTCAAAAAAATTAAAAAACAAAAATTCATCAAAAATAATCCCAACTTTCATTTTGTTGCCTAAAACGGGTATTTTTGTTAACCCTCCGTTAGAAACTTGACGGCGACCTAAAACTGGCAATTTTATTAAAGTTGAGATTATTATGCATCACAGTGAAAGGTGGGATTATTTTTGAAAGACCAGGTAAAGTTGAGATTATTTTTTGTAATTTTTCCATAAAATTATAATCAAAATGGGGACAAAAGGAGCACTATATATCTGGATGTAACATATTTCTCGTTTATCCACATAAATATTTATTTTTGAATAATGGTGTGTTTGGTTGGGAAAAAATTTGCCCAGAAAAAAATTGATTCTATTTTCCTGTATTCCGTTACATTAGTGAACGGAAAAATATTTTCCAGAGAAAAAAACTTTACGTTAAAAATTGAAGTAAATTTTTATTCTATTTTCGCTCCATCCCCCACACACCCCCAACCTCCGTCCACCACATATCCCCTTTTTTGACTTTTCAATTTTAAATTTAAAATTTGAAATTTAAAAATAAAATATTAGGATTTATATTTAAAATAAAAAATAAAAATTTTAAAATATAAAATATAAAATTTAAAATTGAAAATATAAAATTTAAAATTTAAAGCTTAAAATTAAAATTTTAAAATTCAGAAGTTAAAATTTAAAATTTACCCCAGCACAATTTTAATTTAATATTTAATATTTAAAATTTAAACCTTAACATTTAAAATTTACTATTTAAAATTTAAAATTCAAATTTGAACATTTTAAATCTAATTTTTAAAATTTAAATATAAATATTAAAATTAGAAGTTTAAAACTTAAAACTAAAAATTGAAAACTTAAAACCAAAAAAGTTAAAATAAAAATATAAAATTTAAAATATAAAATATAAAACCTATAAATGAAAATATAAAACCTAAACTTTAAAATCTAAAATTTAAAATGTAAAATTTAAAATTTAAAATCTAAAATCTAAACATTAGTATTTAAAATTTAAAATCTTAAATTTCAAATTGAAAATTAAAAATTTAAAAAGAAGGATTTAAAAAAAATGTAAAATTTAAGATATAAAAAATAAAATCTAACACCTAAAATCTAAAAGTTTAAATCTAAAATTTAAAATTTACAATTTAATGTTAAAAATGTAAAATTGAAAATTAAATATTTAATACTAAAAATGTAAAATTTAAAATTTAAAATGGAAAATTTCAAATTCATAGTAAATCTTAAATTTAAATTTTAAACAATAACTTTAAGTTTTTAATTTTTAATTTTAATTTTATTTATTTTAAAATTTTTAGTTTTTAATATTTAATATTTAATTTTTATTTTTAAATTACAATTTTTAGTTTGTAAATTTAGTTTAAATTTAAAAATTTTTGTTTGTAATATTTTTAGTTAATATTAATAAAAAATAAATATTTTTACAAACTAAAATTTTTTAATATTTTTAATTAAACATTTAATTTAAATTAACATTAATAAAAATAGCTAATATTTAATTTTTAGTTTGACTCCTTAATCTTTTATATGAATTTAGCTATTTATAGTATCAATATCTTTCAAGCATACCTTATACCTTTTATTATATTCTACTCTTTTTTAGTTACTTTTAATAATTTGATTAAATTTAGGTTATTCACGTAGCCACTCCTCCTCATACGTGCGGCTCCTCCTCATTCGTGCGTCTCATACGTACGAGAACATCATCCTATACCGTTTACCAGAGCTCTGCGAGATCCTCCTCCTACACAGTTTACGAATGTATAATGCCTAAACACTTTCGTACGTATTAAATTAAGTTTCGTATTTAACATCCATGTTTGGCGAGTGTATTTTGGTGTAATAGATTATTCATGAAATCAATCATACATTTTTGGACAGTGTGAAATTCATACATGAAAACAATCATACACATTTTTGACGGTGTGGAATTCATACATGAAAATAGTGTGGAATTTATACATAAAAAATGATATACATATTTTGGACTATGTGGAATTTATAAATGAAAATAGTTATACACTTTTTGAAAATGTAGAATTTATAGATGAAAACACTGCCACATAAATCAATGGACATTACACTCCAAC